GCAAATGGTTGATCGAGAGTTTGCTTGTAGCCAAATTCGTCTCGAAATCAACCAAACCGGAATTTTCTACTTTCCCTAACCGGCCACATTAATCACCGACCCACGTTTGCGTTTTCTGCTTCGCATCCCTCCGAGCTGCCAAAATGACGAAAAAATACCCGATGCACTTCGTTATATGAAGTGAATAATGGCGAAACACGTAAAAACGTATCAGAATTCTATTACAGTCGGGCGATAAAAATGACCGTGGGATCAAAGAACCAATTTATATTCCAAAAGTCTGAAGGTGCCTTCTAACCTATATGCATCAGGGGCAGAGGTATGACAGTGACTGATGGCCCGGGTACACATATGGGCGCTATGTAGGACGATCTCCGCTGGGAATAAAGATGTTATCCGTAAGGCTGAACTCGTATTACCTTCCTAATAGGCCTTGACCATGTTAAAAGAATTAACTGTGTTTTAGTATTCGTTCAGACCATGACCAAACTCGTTGCGTTCGAGTTATTCTAGATTGTTGTTCGAAATATATGGGGTGGATGGCAGGATAGAAGTTTATAGCGAACAACAAACATCGCTGGATTTCCATACCCGAGAACAATAGTGCCCCCCCCCCGACAGCTTTCTCTCCTATTTTTGTTAAAAAATAAACAAACGTGTATAGTAAAAATATTACAAGATATTTTATTTACCTACCTACTTCATAAATTGAACTGAAAAGTAGCAATGTAAATATTTAATTATTCAATATCAAGATGAAGAGTCTGTCCAAGATAAGGATGTCTACCATGGGATATTGGAAACCATAAGAGTTACGTAGATGGTTAAATTAGAAAAAAGTTGAATAATTTACCGTTAAATAACTTGCTGATGAGAAAACTAAAAAATCCCATCACTTCCGGCGATCCGCCAAAAAAAAAAAAAAACAAAATTTTCGGATTGCACTTTTATTTTATTCTGACGTGATATAAAGAGACGAAAAGAATAAAAGCGACTTTCACGATGCAATCTTCTGAGGTCTACAAGGTAGCGTGGAGAGATTTTAAGTATGACGTTTTGTTTCGACTTATGTTTCGAATACCGTACGAATTAAAAACAATAACAGATTATCTGATTACTAAATTTCGTACCATTCAAACAAAATATTTACTAGTTGCCACTAAACCTATTCGTTTATCGTTCCGATCGGTTCTGCTATTGTTGTCTCTTTTTAACTGCGTACATTAGACAGAGAGATATATTACTGGATATATCATATAACAAATGGAATAAATACAATTTAAAAATTTTGTGTTATTTATTTAACTTTTACAATTGATCATTAAGTAGTTAATTTAAAAAAAAGAGACTGCAATTGGAAGAGAAATCATCAAGGATTAACAGGATTAAATTTTGTTTTGTTTGTACTGATGAGACATGGATATTTGAAAATCGTATAATTGATTTTGGCAAGATATTAATCTAAAAACTGTAAAAACAACTAAAGTTCATGAGAACGGTGTGCAAAATTTCTCTGGAAAAATTAAATTATAAATGTCACTTTACTTACCGACTAGTGCACTAGATTTTAATTATATATATTGCATAAAATTTTTCTGTCTAAGAGTTTTTGGGTACATTTTTGAAAAACTACGAATACATTCACTGACATTGCCGTCAGAATGAACAAACCTCAAAATTAAAACCTCGCGGTAAAATCTCCGAAAACATCCGATTGCCCCCAAACCCGTGCGGTAAAATCCCGGAAATGTCCGAAGTGGCTCCGATTCGTGGGAAACGAAACTGACGCAGTAAATTAGGCATATTACAGAAAATTAATATATTATGCAATAAGTGCGTAAACGGCATTAGACTCACTAGTTTATTTTACACGAGCGGAGCGAGTGTCTAATAAACGAGTGACTTAAAAAGTTTACCGAAGGTGTTGCGTGTTGTATGACCGTTAGTTTTCGCAAAACAACACGATACATACACTGACATGATCTCCCAATAACGCACGTTTTTTATTACATCAACCTGAAGTCAGAAGGGAAGGGTTATTGGGGATATTCTTTAAGAATAAAATGTCAACGAATTCTTATTCAGAACCACATAAAACTTAACTATATTAATTTCCTTGAAATTCGAATACAGGGTGATCGAAATATCGCGGGCGCATTTTTTGTTATTTTTTTGTTGGGTAGACCTTACTAAAAGGCACGGCAACAGTTTTTTTTTTATACAGAATCACCTAAAATCATAGATAACTCTCCCAGTTTGTTGAAGCGGAATATCTAGAAGTACTTTTAGTGATATTTCCAAATTGAAAATGACAACAGACTCGTATTCAGGACAACCTAAAAGTAACTAGACCAATGACCAAAGTCTTTAACGTTTAAAAAAAATAAATATTGTAAACCTTGCAAATAACGATTAATTTTTATGTGATTTTATGGTTTGACAAATTTTAATTATACGAATTTCAAAAATAATGATAAAAAAAATGCTAATTCTCCTGAACGACTAAGCAATGAATCAAACTATTGACTGGAACCTTCGGCACTGTACTAACGTTTTAGTTTTAATCTTCTCCTGAAGATGCCCACTTGGTTGGCGAAACGCGCGTCGAATACGTAAAATTGAGTTTCGGTTTGTGGTAAAACGCGTTATTGTGTGTAAGCTATGAATGATAAAATTCGGAAAATTGTCCGAGATACTTGAATAAACTCGAAATGGTGAAAAATTCATTTAATTGGAGTTTTTTATTCATTCAAACACATAAAATTTTTTGGTTGGATATTTAAGATAACGTTAAAAAAAACATTATGAAGTTGATACGACAACTGGAAAGACGAAAAGTCGATTTTAACATATCTATCTCTTAAATTAAGGAAAAGGTAGTATAGGATAGTATAAAAAAAAGTAATCAATGGCAAATGAAATTCTGGAAAAAAAAGGGAATTGTTTAATGCAAAATGGATATTAAATATTAATTATTTCAATTATGTCATAATTTTTCAGCTTGTACTTTTCAATGCGCCTTTGATTATTGCCAACTACTTTTGTTTGTGGTCGTGATAAATAAACTTTACGTTTTAATGTCCATACAGAAAAAAAAATTGCCGAGTGATATCTGGGGATCGCGGTGGCCTGCAGATTAGATGACTGTTTCGACCAATCCAACGATTAGATAGCTGTAAATACAAATTTTACTGATCGTCCAGAGAAAATTCATCAATTTCACGACTTAGTACATTTTCTAAGAATCGGAGGAAAGTGATGCAGTACAAATTTTCTTCAAAAAAATATGGTCCAATTATTTTTTCGCTTAAAATTCCACAGCAGATGTTCATCTTGGTAGAAAACTGTGTCTTGCATTGTATCATCCAATGCGTATTTTCTTCACTCCACATTCTAATACTCTGAGATGAAACAGTACCTTTTGTACATCAGTACAAACCCTGTCTGTTCTTTCGCTGTCGCCACATTCAAAAGTATGCAGGAATTTGGGTTTATAGCCCTTTTTTCCACCTTTTTGCAATTTACTCCAGATGAAGTTTTTGGAAATATTCAAGTTTACACTTTTGCTCCTAATACTGGATCGGAGATTTTCATTAAAATTATGAAGAATTATTTCACTTGGACGAACAACACGATTGCGATGTTGGTTGGCGAGTTTGTTGACTGTCCCGTTCTGATCAAAATTTCTATTGAACTCTGCACCTGCTTCAGGTAAAGATCGCAAAAACTAGATGTACAATTACTACTTTTTCTCCCAAAGATAAATTAACCATTGTAATATTCCAAACAATTATCGCCTCCCCATGGCAAACTTGGTTTTACAACATTATGTCAACGTCAATCAATTTTGATGTTTCTGTTATTTTCAATATTAGATGAGAATTAAAAATTCTTTTTAATTAAAAAAATACTGCGTGAAAGGTTTGTTTATTTCATAACCCTAATCCTTTCTAATTATATCTAATTTTAAGAAAATCGTTTTTGTTTTTCACTGAAATCTATCCAACAAAAAAAAATTATCAAAATTGAGCCACAAACAATAATTCTACAGGAGGATCTTTTTAGCGAGATACCTTCATGGAAATTAGTATAATTTGGTTTTATGTAGTCCTGAATAAGAATTCGTTGACGCTTTATTCCTAAAAAAATCGCCAATAATCAAAAATTATTTCCAGTTTGCTATGACTTCGGGTTGATGTAATAAGAGACAGAAGGTTTTAGTGCGTTATTGAGGGTTCTATCCACCAAAACAATTACTTTTTACAAAGCTTCTGGGACAGTTTCGGTCAAGCTCTGAAGAAGCCAACAGGATGATTGGCGAAACGTCAGCAATTTCGACTCAGCAAAAACCGACGCAGGAGGAATCCAGAAGTTTTGTAAAAAATATTACAGTAGCCTGTGAAAGTTTCTTTGACAAATTAATAAAACAATTATTAAAACCAAAGATTTTACAACGATGTACAGCCTTAAGTGGTATGCAAACGATATTTCAAACACCCTGTATTGCAACATTATATAAATTGGTATAGTTGGGTTCTCCTGGTCATTATATAGGAAAGCAATTCTATTTTCCTGGGTGAAACCTATTACTACACACTTATTTCAATTCAGTTTTTCAGAGATGTATCCAACAAAAATAAATGATCAAAATCGAACCATAAACAAACTTATACAAGGGCGTACTGTATAGTAAGATATCTTGTAGCGTTGAGTGTGCATAGCATAAGTCTAGACTTCGAGTTTAAACAAATAAATGGAAAAAAATCTTGAGTTAATGGTTTTTATTATTTCGCAGACTGCGTTTAAAATTTTATAAAGAAAGTGATTAGAGGTAGAGTGTGCATTTGCTGTTGAAATTATAATTAGAGCAGTTAGTATATTTGTCGAAACAGCGTATAATAAGTGTTGTTGCACTGGAATCTAGCAAAGCGCACACGGATATAAGCAGGTTAACCAATATTGGCCTTGAGTTTAATTAAAGGTTGTTTGTTTGGACGTACCATGAGTGAATCGCAGATCCTGAGGCGTCGGTTTACCAATCTCGGCCAATTTCTGAGACCTTCAATTATATACAGACTTCAATAATCTTCGGATTTTCCCGATACCAATCCGCACGTTTACTCTGAATGGTATATTGCCGACCTATTTGGTTTTATTATTTGCTTACGTCCCGCATATATAGTACGTCTACACGTTTAGAGGGAATCTGTAAACACATTTGACACCGTTTCTGTCATTATTGTTTTGCTTTATGTTCGGCCTTGCTGGGAATTTAGTTATTTGGTTCGTTGTATGTGGTGTTTGCGGAACAATATTTTGCGGCACAGCATGCAGCATAATAACTCCATCGCTTAATTTCGTACTTGTAAGCAAATTAGGGAAAAAGCAGTCGGGAAAAATAATATCTCTAGTTAAGTCGCAATTCAACACGGTTTTCCATATGGGAACAAGGAGGACAACGTTTTGGTTGGAGGTTTTACGTTATTAGTTATAATTACGCCTTGATCACGGTTCCCAAATGTCTTGGGATGGGATTGGGTGCTCTCTTATCAAGTCTGTTGCTATTAAGCTAGTGGTACCCAAGACGTGCGTTCAATTTATCTAGATAAACTTTTTAATTGGCTGTAACTTTTTTGTTTTTAGAAATATCAAGGTGAACAAAAAACGAAATGTAGGATTAGTAGTAAACAAATCGGCAAAAATAGGACTGACGTCAACAACAATAATTATTTACAAATTAAAGTAGAAAAAAAACACTAAAAATGACAAGACACACTAAAGTAAAAAATTCTTTAACTAATCTAAATGCTGCTGTATGTGACCAACATTTTCCTGAACACATTTCTCATACACTCTAATTGTATGATGTTCTGCATTTAGTAATGTTTCCGAATTGCCTCTTAATTGATTGATTGCCTCTGAAATCCTTTGCTGAAGTTCCACAACATTATTACAAGGAGTTCTGTGCATGTGCTTTTTTGTGTCCATTAAAGTTAAGTCGGGGCTGTTGGTTGGCAATCCGTAGTTCCGCCGTTCCCTATCCAACCACTGGGATATTCTATGTTAAGAAAATTTTTAACTTGCACAACATTGTGAGGGGGGCACCGTCTTGCTGCCATATAATAAATCCAAAGAAAACTGCATCTTCTTTGACATTGTTTTGCATTTAGTTTTTGAGTTTTACGAAATTGAAATGCATTATATTTATATTCTTTCAACACTGAGTAGATTGATCCCCGAAAAATACCTGTCTCTTAATATACTCTAGTAATAGAGGAAACGGGATTTAATACTTTACTGTTTTCTGCAAATTTCTTTGCCTCCGAGCTGCGGTTGTACTTTTATTATTTTATTACTCCTTCCACGGATGCTAAATTCGCGAAAAACCATTTTAACAATAATGACTTGGAGAATAATTCAACCGTCAACGTTCTTTACTAATATGTCAAACATAAACATATTTTTATTTGTCAGTCAGAGCACTCTTTGAAATTAAATAAAAATTTCCCCATTTTTGCCGATTTGTCAAAAGCGAGTGGTCTAAAATATAATGTAATATATAATATACAGGGTGGGAAGAAAACTTGGCTACTAATCCTACATTTGTTTTTTTAATTTACCAAAAAGGTTACAGCCAATTAAAATGTTATCAAGATAAATTGAACGTACTGTACCTGGTTGACTTATCTTTCAGTCCCAATTCATAAGGGGAGACACGCACTTGATATCTAATTTCAGGGGTAAATCTTCAAGAAATACTTTTAAAACATTCTAATAGTTATTTAAAGCAGATTTATTTTCTGTGATCATCATTTCAGATCCCAAAGAGGCCGTTAGAATCAGGATGCTATTATATAATTAGATTATTTGATTTGAGATAGATAATTATAAACAACGGATAAACATTTTAATACATTTTTGATTGGATTGAGCTGAGGCTTTTATTTGATGAAAATCCATATAACAAAATAAATAAGAACTGAAAGTTCAGATTTTCATGAAATTATAAATATTCACATGACAATTGTTTCGACAACACCGTGTCTTTATCAAATGTAATATTTACAAACTACCTGCTACTATATATACCGAAAAATGAAAATAAAATCTTAATTAATGTTTTTGTGAGAATTTAAGTTCAATAAAGGAGAGGTATTTAAATCTAATTGATCGTTAAGCAATACATTTCCATCCTAACTTCCTTAGACATTGATTATGGGAAACCCACGAAGTCCTTTGTTAGCCGAGATTTTTATGGATAATTAAAATAAAAGTTTTCTATGGTGGTATAGATACGTAGCCTTTGCTTGCTTTGTTGGAACGGACAGAAAATTGAATTCCTTTTTAAATTACATTAGCTCATTACATAATCGTATAAAATTCACTATCGAGATTGAGACAATAAAAACTTAATTAATGTTGTTGTGAGAATTTAAGTTTAATAATGGAGAGGTATTTAAATCTAATTGATCGTTAAGCAATACATTTGAATATCCCATTTTGTTAATCTCCATGGCTTCCAATAAATTTAATTTTCGCCGAGTAAAAAGCCTTACCTTCCTTTTGAATGACGGTAGTGGTAGGGATCTAGTAGAGACAGCCATCCAAAAGTTTCTCCCTGATACGGAAAGTCTAAGGCGATATTTACGCAAAAGTTGCGATTCTCCAGTTGGTTATTACACATTTCTGATTAGTACCAGAATTTGAGTCTATTGGCATTATGCGAATAAAAAAATAATAAATAAACGCTTTTAAGGGCCTCGAAGCAAATAAATGGTTTACATCGTATGACTAAAAAAAAATGCTGCTAGGTAGTTTGTTTCATAATGTGTCTGTCCCTTCAATGCGGCATCCATATGAATGCTCACCAGCTTAACTGATATCATATCATCATATCATAAATCGTTTCCCGTAAATAAAGGAGGTGTATTAGTTCTCTAACGTTATTTAATATTTATTTGCAACAAGACCTGATAAGGTGGAAGAAAAAATGTAAGAATATGTCTTTTGCGTACTGTCAAGTAATCTTGGCCCAAGACTGTGATGACATAGAGTACATGACATGAAAGGTTATTGAAGAAAACAATGAATGGGGGCTGGAAGTAAACATCAATAATCCAGAATATACACAACAAGACCTAATTTCTGGAACAGGACAACATATTATACAGTCTAAAGAATACACACAACAAGACTTAATTTTTGGAACAGGGCAACGTATTATACAGACTAAAGAATATAAGTATTTGTGTTTAAAAGTAGCAGAAGACGGAAACATGGATAAAGCAAGGAAGGATGTATTCAAGGTAGGAGAACTATCTCATTACTAAACAGTATCTCAAAACAGAACAAACAAAAAATTTATATCGCGATGGTACATTGTAAAATATAGTAGTGAAGTTTGGCAGCTAAAAGAAAGTAATGAGAGAAGGTGGCAGAGATGGGCTTCTGGAGAAGAGTTCCGGACAATCAGAAATGAAAGAATACGGGAAATAATGGGTGTCACACACAACATAATAGATGATATTAGAACGCAACAACTCAGACGGCATGGCCATGTACAGAGAATGGGTAATGAAAGAATACGAAAACAAATTATAAGATGGACTCCTCACTACAGAAATGAGAGAGAAAGACCCAGGCGAAGCTGGATAGAAGGACTAAAATCAGAGATGACGGAAAGAGAACTAGACGATAATCTATGGATCGATTATGTTACGTGCTTCAATTGTTTTTCTGTTTTCAACATCGTAATCAGTGAAAAAATGCTACTAGTTTGCTGATTTAACCGAAATATTATCTCTACTCGTAACAAAGTTACCGATGTTCAATGTTACGAACGAACAATTGCTGACGTTTCGCCAATCATCCTGTTGACTTCTTCAGAGCTTGAATGAAACTGGCTCGCATCTTACTCTGTACCTGCTTATATATTGCTTAAGGGGGCGGAGCTAATGAGGGGCATAAACACCGTCTCGAATGACTGATTCCCAGATAAAGACCTGAGTCGCAGTTAAGATTGTTAGGTTGTTTATATATTTCTATAGACTCTCGGATTTTTCGTTGGTAGAAGAATTGATTACATTCAAGAACATTAGTTTTATCTAGAAAATTTTATGCCAGGCTTCGTGATTGTGTTCGGCAACAGCTGATGAGTTTATTTGTCTTAGTCGTAAAGCTCTTTCGTGTTCTTTGAGCCTAGTTGATATTTTTCGGCCGGTCTCCCCAATGCGTTCTTGGAATAGTGTAAACTCTCGGCATCTCAAATGGAATTTTGTCTTTGCCGTAAAGCGACCCAGGTCTTTCTCTGTCATCAATATGGGAATCGGTCATCCGAGACGGTGTTTATGCCTCTCATTTAGCTCCGCCCCCCCTCAAGCAATATTAAAGCCGGTACAGAGTAAAATGCCAGCCAGTTTCAGTCAAGCTCTGAAGAAGCCAACAAGATGATTGGCGAAACGTTAGCTTTGTAAAACAGTCTAATAATTATTGTCCACCCAGTTCAAAGTTCCTGGTGGTTGTATCGCGTCGGCGTTATTTTTGGTTAGTTTAGGTTTAATAACCGATTTTATTTACAAAACGAACTACCGCGGATATTCCTAATGCAAACAAAATTAATATTAACATCGTTAGTAAAGTATTTTTGCATTAATGAACGCCGGACAGATAATAATTGTCGTTACATTCATTATTCAAACCCGGCCGTAACAAATTCGTTTATTTACTTTGGCGTTCGGAGATTTATCCGACTTGCAGCGGCAATTTTATCGCAAAAAGGGCGGTCCCGAAAATATATTAATCTATATATAGGCCGATTGGGGGCCGGCGAAAACAAACAAAAGCTCGCAGGCCGAATAACAAACAACGCGAAAAGTTTTGTTTAATAAATATTGTTTAAAAGCTGAAAAAAGGAAATTAATTGGACCGGCTGCGAATTGTTTTTTTTTTCGCGTAATTTTGGCATGTTTAACGCAAAATTCGTTATCAAAAAAATGCCGCAGCGCAATGGTTGAATTTATTATTACGTTCAAAAACGTTTTTTTTTTATTTGTCGCAGTATTTTGGCTACCGTGCCGGCGTGTTATAATTTGGAATTTTAAAATATGGTCGCCCTCAGTTTC